TTAAAATGATATTTTTAAAGCTAGATGAGAGTTATTATCTAGCGTTACTCCAACCATCTTCTCTGTTATCTAACATATCAACTTCGATCAGTCCAGCACAGCAGTGTCTACCAGTCGGTGACTTATTGAACTCAACAATGAGAAGCTTTCCGGCTATTCGCCGAGTTAAATACTATCATACACTATGTCAAATGAAATTCGACCTGTTGTGCTTTCACGATGAACTCTATATGTGTCTATGTGCTCTCGACCACTATGCCAATTGTTTCAACATTCGACATAATGCAAATCTGACATGTCGCCATGATCTTTACTGTCAGAATAACGCATTATGTCTCAAAGATGATCCAACTTGTCATTCGAATACAGTGTGTATATGTACTGATTGCTTTTTCGGTGATCGATGTCAGTTCTATGCTAAAGGTATCGGATTAATACTTGATGATATCTTACGTTATGAAATACGACCAAATGTAACATTGATCAATCAACCGCTATCGGTTACAATCAATGCAGGACTAACCATCATCATGTTGATTGTAGGTTTATTCAACAGTATCGTCTGTTTCTTCACATTTCAAACCGAGAAATCTCGGCAAGTCGGTTGTGGAATATATCTCGTAACTTCATCGGCTACATCATTCATTACCATGATCATGATGACATTGAAAACTTCGCTTCTCATTTTCACGCAAACCAATAGATCGGCTAATATCAATGTTCTTCGATGGGAGTGTGTATACATTGAAGTTCTACTCAAACTCTTTGTGTATATGGACAATTGGTTATACAGTTGTGTGGCTATCGAACGAGCCTATTCGGTATTCAAAGGAGCTACATTTGATAAAATGAAAAGTAAATACATCGCTCGATGGATTATTCTCGCTCTGCCATTTGTGATTATCGGTAGTGGTGTTCACGAACTTCTAGGTCGTGATTTATTTAATGATGAAGAAGAAAATCGAATGTGGTGTGTTACACGTTACTCAAATTCGATTCAGTTTTATAATACATTTATTCTATTTTTTCATTTTTTGTTACCTTTCTGTAGCAATCTATTTTCTGCTTTATTCATTATTATCATGGTCGCTCGTCGTCGTACAACAGGTCAACATAAACAGAAGAATTATAAAGTACATCTCTCTGAACAACTAAACGAGCATAAACATCTCCTGATCAGTTGTGGTATTTTAGTTCTCTTGGCACTACCTCGTATACTTATTTCATTGTTATCGGGTTGTGTTAAATCATCCTATAATCCCTGGTTGTATTTGACCGGATATTTTATTTCATTCGTACCNATCATGGTCGCTCGTCGTCGTACAACAGGTCAACATAAACAGAAGAATTATAAAGTACATCTCTCTGAACAACTAAACGAGCATAAACATCTCCTGATCAGTTGTGGTATTTTAGTTCTCTTGGCACTACCTCGTATACTTATTTCATTGTTATCGGGTTGTGTTAAATCATCCTATAATCCCTGGTTGTATTTGACCGGATATTTTATTTCATTCGTACCATCGGTTATTACCTTTTTCGTATTTGTTCTACCCTCGAAGTTATACAAACAACAGTTGAAAGAATCGATAACGAAATATCAACGATGGATTTGTGGATGATATAATTTCAATTCGTTTTGACTATTCAAGATACTTTATTTCAGTAATCAAAACTTGGAGCAGTGAAAAAGTTCACTCTTCAGCCACACGTAAGAGAACACCAGGATTGTATTTCGCGTAATTGACGCATCTACTAGGCGGTTGACGTGTGGAATCTGGATCCCATCCAATAGTATACACACCCTTACGGTACATACAAGCAACCCAAAGATTGTCCGCACCAGGCTGTTCTGTCATGGTGATATTAGGTCCAATATGTCTACCAACCCATGTTTGCACCGGTGTTGAGCGAAATAAAGAGACATCACTTGCCGATTCGGTCTTTCCTCGTTTGAGTACGTAAGATGGAAATTGTGAGCCAGTTTGATTCTTCAGATAATAATTTGCACCATCTACGGGTGATGTGAGAACTCCATTTGTTAAATTGAAGACAATAAAGCTTGTATTGCTAACAGCTATATCATTATTTTCCAGCGCCATCAAGTCCTATATGCACATCAAAACAAAGATATAGAAATATCGAATTAACCCATTGTCTTACCATTCCATACTGTGTATAATACGGAATGAAAACATTGATTTTAAACGTTGTATTCAGAGTATACACATACTCCCGTTGTGCCTCTATGAAGCTCATGCATGAGCATACGATGAATAACAAAGTTGTCGCTGTTCGAGCTACCGTCATTTCGAAACAAGAGAATAAATGAATTTATAGTTTTCTTTTCTTTTCAATTATATACCCGGTTTCAAGTGTCGCTTATATACTCGAGTATTAATATACGTTTATTTTCGATACTTAAGCCATCGCATTATATTTGGACTCGAATCGCAAGACAAAAGTGCAAGATACACTTGGATTTATTTTGCATATGATCTGAATGGGCAACTCTTTAAATAACAATGGCTTTCGCTTTAAAAAAACCTCAAGGTATTCCATCTGTAGTATTCAAATCGCACTTTTTATCTCTTGGTAGCATGCGTGCAAGCTACAAAGAAATTACAGAATCGATTATCTCGAACGGTAATACATACGCAAAAAGAAAAGATATTTGCATTAAAAAATGTTCCGTGCGAGAACGGAACCTACGTTCCCTGTGTGCCGTGCAGCTATAGTAACATCATACTAGTAGAACTTGATTTCATTCAGCTCAACAATCATTCTTATGTATATTCACACAGTAACTTATTCACTCTTTCACCGTGTAGATGGTACTACACGATTGATTTTTAAAATTTTGCAATTTTTTTGTGCGACAATAAGAAGAGGATAAACTTCCTGCGGATGAAACTGAATAATGTTCTTTTGGCAACATTACAATTTTGAAATCTTTCTAACAGAAATGGCCTTTCATCATTTTAGTCCGCCTCTATCAGTAACAAGCACAAAACATTTTCCTTTTTTTGTCATGAGCCGATGTTCTATATACTCGTAGATCAATAAAAATCAAACGTTTTGTACATGAATGCTTTATCGTTGTTTTGTTTTTTGGCAGAAGAAGAAACGCACGAGACATAATTCAACTCACTGTTCATTCATACAAATTTATATTTCAGCACGTCTAAAAATAATAACACTGTTCAATAACTGTCATAGTCTTTGGTATTTGTGACATCAATGTAATTCGTGTTTATACTATATCCTATGTATCTCTAAATTAGACTACTCAACACAAGTGAACACACAGTTCAATAAATAATAGATCTCCCTGCATTTCAGACTTATGATACATACGGTTGAAAAGCTTGAACTTCAAAGCGATGGTCACTAGGCAGCATTCAAATATTCTCGGAAGATTTTACCAAGCATCTATAGATTTCAGAGAATCAAATGCGCACAATGATATCAGTATTATGAAACATCAGAATATTATTATAATCTAGTTGAACAATAATGCACATCATAACAATCCAGACCTCCAGAATATATTAATTGTACAACTTCAACATATTGTCAGCGACGTCCATATATTTCATGATAATGATCAGTTTACTGAGTTTATTGTAAGTATTACTGACAGCAAAGTGTGTCTGACCACTTCAGGATCACTTGGATCGTACATTGTACCATGTATTCACGACATTTCTCAAATTGGTTTATTTTTTATCATTTGTAACGACAAGGACCAATCTGTGCAGTGGACAAAACGTGCTCTAAAGTCATAAGTGTTTCTGATGACATACCAAGCATCTATGAAGAGTTAAAGCTAATAGTACGTCAATGTGGGCAAAATACTATACCCATGAGCTTTGTGTCACCGGGGAAAATCTAAATTAGTTAGATCCATTGTTTATGTACACACGGATTATCAAAGTATTATTAGCTATTTAATTCCATAGTATACACATAAGAGAATTCGTTAAGTAATTCATCAACAAAACCATGTGACGAGTCGTACGAAAGGAAAGTGTAATAAATTGAGATCAGACGTAATCTACCGACACCCTTACGAAAGAGTAAATTATGAAAGTCAGATCATTTCAGACAACCAGTGGCAAACAAAAAATACCATTTTCGAAATTACATAGGCGTGATAACTCTAATAACTGTTTTACTACTTATCAGTAAATATCTGTGGTGCGAAGGGTGAGCGATTAAATGACAAATACTACTTTCAAACATATTGTTTTAGTTTTCATGCAACAGTCTTGACTAGAAAAGGCCATTTGAACATTCGCGGCACACTTGTACTGACTAAAAGCCATATGGGGTAGTTTTCGTATGAAACTAGTAATTCTACACCAATACACTCTGTCATTCACTTCTGATTGTTATGGTAGTTCATCTTAGAATTTAGTTTTTTATAGATGCATTCATTTGTAATAAGTGTTGCTTTACTGAAGTCGATAAGAAGAGACCAATAAAATTTCGAGGGAAATCTCATTTATTTGAGGACAAATATGTGCAAATTAGAACGGTGTTTTTTTCTCTATGGAGAAATGCACGCTGTACGGAAATCAACATTATCATTTATCAAAAGCTTTTTCCAACTATGATTTTATGAACATACACGTTAGATTTGTATTTATCAGTAGTCAATATTCTTTCCATTTATTCTGTATTTCCTAAATACATTAAGTATTTTGTCACCTGCGCAACATTTTTATCTGCTAATAAATTTATACATCCCCTATGAGATTAAATTCTCAATTGTGACGATAGAGACTCCGCTACAATAATCTACTATTCTATATTTCTGAATAATGAAAGTAGCCACTAAAAGACCGACAAGTAGAATCAAACGATTACGTAACTATGTTCTAAAACTAAACATCTATGGCCATCAAAGTGATTCAACACTCATTGATCAATTATTGTCGACACAAATATTCCTCATTCTATTATTCATACTTCTGCTTCTTATTATAGTTTATATCATTCTTAGTGTTCAAACTCATTCGGTGACTGTTCAGTCTCCCTCGGAATCCACTTTTACACAACTGTCTCAACAGTATCCAAGCACACTCTCATGCCCATGTTCACACACATCTGTTCGACACGATCGATTTCTCTCACTCAATCCTCAGTATCATTCCATTTGTACAAGTCTATTGATTAATCAATCATTTATTTCATTATTATCTTCTGCGAATGTGAGTGAGTATTCCATCATTGATTATCGAAAAATGGCAACATCTCATTTTCAAATTCTTGCTTTACTTTGTCGAACAGTTCGACAAATGATTGATGATTCTTTGAGTGAACTCCTCTCACAACATTTCACCACTTCAGAAGTTGTCTCAAACGAAACATTCAATGCTCAGATGAATCATCTTGTAGAACAATTGAAAACAACAAATATTGCCAATATAAAACATATAAGCGATTTTTTATGGTTGAACATGTTCTACAATGAAATTCATTCGGGATTGAAAACAAACTTTAACATTAAATACTTAAATGGTAGCTCTGTGACCTACGATATTCGTTCTTATTCTCTTCCTGCAAATGCAACGTGCAACTGTCATAGATCTATTGATTGCACTACACAAGCTACAATCACAAAGTTAGTATCGTCTAATGCAACTGTAAATCCAACGACGGCAGTGCAGAATCCAATCAGACTCTTTGTCATATCTGGCCTAAAAGTTGGTTGTCTGCCATACAACTCATTACTTCAATCGACTCTTGAATGTTTCTTCAATCAGTCATGCATTGATCGAATTGAAAAGNATCATGGTCGCTCGTCGTCGTACAACAGGCCAACATAAACAGAAGAATTATAAAGTACATCTCTCTGAACAGCTAAACGAGCATAAACATCTCCTGATCAGTTGTGGTATTTTAGTTCTCTTGGCACTACCTCGTATACTTATTTCATTGTTATCGGGTTGTGTTAAATCATCCTATAATCCCTGGTTGTATTTGACCGGATATTTTATTTCATTCGTACCGTCGGTTATTACCTTTTTCGTATTTGTTCTACCCTCGAAGTTATACAAACAGCAGTTGAAAGAATCGATAACGAAATGTCAACGATGGATTTGTGGATAATATACTTTCAATTCGTTTTGACTATTCAAGATACTTTATTTCAATAATCAAAACGCCGAGCAGTGAAAAGATTTATTTGTCAGCTACATGTAAAAGAACACCAGGATTGTATTTCGCGTAATTCACGCATCTTTTAGGTGGTTGATGTGTAGAATCTGGATCCCATCCGATAACATAGATACCCTGAGGATTCATACAAGCAATCCACAGGTTATCAGCACCGGGCTGTTCTGTCATAGTGATATTAGGACCAATATGTCTGCCAACCCATGTTTGCACTGGGGTTGAGCGGAATAAAGAGACATCACTTGTCGATTCGGTCTTTCCTCGCTTAAGCACGTACGATGGAAATTCTACGCCAGTTTGATTTTTCAGATAATAATTCGCACCATCTACGGGTGATGTAAGAATTCCATTTGTTAAATTGAAGACAATAAAGCTTGTATTGCTAACAGCTATATCATTATTTTCCAGCGCCATCAAGTCCTATATGCGCATCAAAACAAAGATATAGAAATATCGAATTAACCCATTGTCTTACCATTCCATACTGTGTATAATACGGAATGAAAACATTGATTTTGAATGTTGTATTCAGAGTATACACATATTCACGTTGTGCCTCTGTGGAGCTCATGCATGAGCATACGATGAATAACAAAGTTGTCGCTGTTCGAGCCACCGTCATTTCGAAACAAGAGAATAAATGAATATATATTTTTCTTTTTTTTTCAATTATATACCCGGTTTCAAGTGTCGCTTATATACTCGAGTATTAATATACGTTTATTCTCGATACTTAAGCCATCGCATTATATTTGGACTCAAACGGCAAGACAAAAGTGCAAGATACACTTGGATTTATTTTGCATATGATCTGAATGGGCAACTCTTTTAAAAAAACCTCAAGGTATTCCATCTGTAGTATTCAAATCGCACTTTTTATCTCTTGGCAGCATGCGTGCAAGCTACAAAGAAATTACAGAATCGATTATCTCGAACGGTAATACATACGCAAAAAGAAAATATATTGGCATTAAAAAAATGTTCTGTGCGAGAACGGAACCTACGTTCCCTGTGTGTCGTGCAGCTATAGTACCATCATACAAGTAGAACTTGATTTCATTCAGTTCAACAATCATTCTTATGTATACTCACACAATAACTTATTCACTTTTCGACCGTGTAGATGGTACTACACGATTGATTTTTAAAATTTTGCAATTCTTTTGTGCGACAATAAGAAGAAGATAAACTTCCTGCGGATGAAAATGAATAATGCTCTTTTGGCAACATTACAATTTTGAAATCTTTCTAACAGAAATGGCCTTCCGTCATTTTAGTGCGCCTCTATCAGTAACAAACATAAAACATTTTCCTTTATTTGTCATCAGCCAATGTTTTATATACTCGTAGATTAATAAAAATCAAGTGTTTTGTGCATGAATGCTTTATTGTTGTTTTGTTTTTTGGCAGAAGAAGAAACGCACGAGACATAATTCAACTCACTGTTCATTCATACAAATATATATTTCAGCACGTCCAAAAATAATAACACTGTTCAATGACTGTCATAGCCTTTGCTAGTTGTGACATCAATGTAATTCGTGTTTATATTATATCCAATGTATCTCTAAATTAGACTACTAAACACAGGCGAACATACAGTTCAATAAATAATAGATCTCCCTGAATTTCAGACTTATGGTACATACGGTTAAAAAGCTTGACCTTCAAAGCGATGGTCACTAGGCAGAACTGAAATATTCTCGGAAGATTTTACCAAGCATCTATAGATTTCAGAGAATCAAATGCACACAATGATATCAGTATTATGAAACATCAGAATATTATTATAATCTAGTTGAACAATGATACACATCATAACAATCCAGACCTCCAGAATATAATAATTGTACAACTTCAACATATTGTCAGCGACGTCCATATATTTAATGATAATGATCAATGTATCGAGTTTATTATAAGTATTACTGACAGCAAAGTGTGTCTGACTACTTCAGGATCACTTGGATCGTACATAGTACCATGCATTCACGATATTTCTCAAATTGGTTTATTTTTTATCATTTGTAACGACAAGGACCAATCTGTGCAGCGGACAAGACGTGTTCTAAAGTCATCAGTATTTCTGATGACATACCAAGCATCTATGAAGAGTTAAAGCTAATAGTACGTCAATGTGGGCAAAGTACTATACCCATGAGCTTTGTGTCACCAGGAAAAAATCTAAATTAGTTAGATCCATTGTTTATGTACACACGGATTATCAAAGAAGTATTATTAACTACTGAATTCCATAGTATACACATAAGAGAATTCGTTAAGTAATTCATCAACAAAACCATGTGACGAGTCGTACGAAAGAAAAGTGTAATAAATTGAGTTGAGACGTAATCTACCGACACCCTCATGAAAGAGTAAATTATGAAAGTCAGATCATTTCAGACAATCAATGGCAAACAGAAAATACGATATTTGGAATTACATACGCACGATAACTCTAATAATTATTTTACTGATTATCAGTAAAGATCTATGGTGCGAAGGGTGAGCGATTAAATGACAAATACTACTTTCAAACATATTGTTTTAGTTTTAATGCAACAGTCTTGACTAGAAAAGGCCATCTGAACATTCGGGGCATACTTGTACTGACTAAAAGTCATATGGGGTCGCTTTCGTATGAAACTAATAATTCTACAACAATACACTCTGTTATTCACTTCTGATTGTTATGGTGGTTCATCTTCGAATTTAGTTTTGTATTTATGCATTCATTTGTAATAAGTGTTTCTTTACGGAAGTCGATAAGAAGAGACCAATAAAATTTCAAAGGAAATCTCATTTATTTGAGAACAAATATGTGCAAATTAGAACGGTGTTTTTTTCTCTATGCAGAAATCCACGTTCTACGGAAATCAACATTATCATTTATCAAAAGCTTTTTCTAACTATGATTTTATGAACATACACATTAGATTTGTATTTATCAGTAGTCAATATTCTTTCCGTTTATTCTGTATTTCCTAATCACATTATGTATTTTGTCACCTGCGCAACATTTTTATCTGATAATAAATTTATACATCCCTTATGAGATTAAATTCTCAATTGTGACGATAGAGACTTCGCTACAACAATCTACTATTTTATATTTCTAAATAATGAACGTAGCCACTAAAAGACCGACAAGTAGAATCAAACGATTACACAACTATGTTCTAAAACTAAACATCTATGGTGATGAAAGTGATTCAACACTCATTGATCAATTATTATCGACACGAATATTCCTCCTTCTCTTATTCATAATTCTGCTTCTTATTATAGTTTATATCATTCTTAGTGTTCAAACTCATTCGGTGACTATTCAGTCTCCTTCGGAATCCACTTTCACACGACTGTCTCAACAGTATCCAAGCACACTTTCATGTCCATGTTCACACACATCTGTTCGACATGATCGATTTCTCTCACTCAATCCTCAGTATCATCCCATTTGTACAAGTCGATTAATTAATCAATCATTTATTTCATTATTATCTTCTGCGAATGTGAGTGAGTATTCCATCATTGATTATCGAAAAATGGCAACATCTCATTTTCAAATTCTTGCTTTACTTTGTCGAACAGTTCGACAAATGATTGATGATTCTCTCAGTGAACTCCTCTCACAACATTTCACTACTTCAGAAGTCGTCTCAAACGAAACATTCAATGCTCAGATGAATCATCTTGTAGAACAATTGAAAACAACAAATATTGCCAATATAAAACATATAAGCGATTTTTTGTGGTTGAACATGTTCTACAATGCAATTCTTTCGGGATTGGGAACAAACTTTTACGCTGCATACGCATCTGGTAACACTGCGAACTACACCATTAATACTTATTTTGATTTTTCAAATGCAAGGTGCCATTGTCATGGATCTATTGATTGCAGTGCACAAGCTGCAATCAGAAAGTTAGTACCGTCTAATGCAACTGTAAATCCAACGACGGATGCGCAGAATCCAGTCAAACTCTTTAACATAGCTGGTCTAAAAGTTGGTTGTCTGCCATACAGCTCATTACTTCAATCGAATCTTGAATGTTTCTTCAAACAGTCATGCATTAACCGAATTCAAAAGTACCTGCCTGCATTAGCCTCCGTCTCTCCGCTCTCTGCTCACTCTCGTTTCCAACAAAATGCCACAGTCGAGCATCTTCTCGATCAACTCTTCATCGAATCATGGAACCAAATCAATAATTTCACTGCTTATTTTCAGAGTTGTTCTCCTCACTCATGCACATATTCATATGATCAACGATTCAATATTCTTTATGTCATTGTCAAACTCATTGGTATTTTTGGTGGCTTGAAGATGGTGTTGAAGTTCTCTGCTCCACTCATTGTCAAACTTATTCGACGTGTTCAAACGTGTCGATGTATTCGTAAGACAGTGGACAAAAAGGAAATACCTGTTCAACAAAGTGAGCTATTTTTTTTCATGTCAATATTCATGTTTTCTTTTACATGAAATAGGTGTAAAGCAGTATCTTGCATCTCTTGTACAGAAAATAAAAACAAAACTGAAGACACTGAATCTGTTTCCATTGATATCTGATGAAACAGATGGATTGTATTCGACACGACTCTACATCATCTCATATATCATTGGAATCATCGTGTTAGTCTTGTATACTTCGATATCAGTTCAGATGCGAAGTATCACTGTACATGAGCCAAGTTTGTCCGAATACGAACGATTGTATGGTAAATATGGCAGAACATTGATCTGTCCATGTCGTCATCTGTCTGTGTCTTATTCTTCGATTATTCATCTCGAAGCCGAATATCATCAGGTGTGTTCGAGCGAGTTTATCGACGACAATACTTGGTTGTCATATTTTAACATGAGTATTCGTTCCTTATTTTCGTTGGATTTTCGAATGGACGGTTCAAAACTATTTCGCATACTTCAGTCATTATGTCGATTATCGAATGAAACAGTGAGAAATCAACTACGTGTATTTAGTGAAACGGAATTCATCAATGCACATGTTGTGTCAAGAGATACGTTCGATATTCAAACATCCATTCTAATTGATCAATTGCGACAACAGGTAAGAAAAGTCTGATAATACTGGGTGTTATTCCGAGATAAAAGAAACGATCCTATGAAAGAGGATGCGCAGCAGTGGAAGTTCCAAAGGGAGAAAGTCGAGGCTTCAGACTTCAAATACTTCACTATTACTTCGCTAACACTTCACCGTACTTCGAATACTATCTGAAGTAGATGAAGTCTCGCTTTTTCCTCCTTGGGAAGTTCGCACTTACAGCTTGTCGGCATGAAGCAGCGTAAGCTGTCGTAGATTAGGGTTGTGCAAGCGCAAGTACTCAGATAATATACATAGTTCATATTCACCATTCCTGCGATAATGACAGAAGCAAATCATGATAAATTTGCAGATTTGAATCAAGGTTGGATCGTTGATTATTGTAGACTCTTCACTCATTTCTGACAATGTTTCAACTGGTTCGTGTATCCATTCAGCTGAACCAATTTATAGTACTTGGTAACACAAATTCTCAAATCAAGCGATACAACAACAACGGTACTCTAATATGGCGATCTGTGCCAAACAATTACTACGACTCTAACTGTTCATGTGGCCAAAGTGTTCATTGTAATCGTTCACAAGGTTTTTACCGTGCCTCCAGGCCCAACAATCTATCCGTAAAGGATAGACCAAATCAGACTATACCTGGTTTAGTTGTAAGTTGTTTACCTATCGACTCTCTTCTGCTATCAACACTCGAGTGTTTCTACAACTCATCATGCATTCAAATGCTCATCGAATGGCGTTCATTTAACTTCACAGCTCATAAAAACGATTCGCGTTTCACTAACGTCACTCCACTCGATCCAATGCGTAACACTCGTTTTCCACCCTCGATCAANGTCGTGACTGATGCATCCTTTATGATGTGTGTCATCAAAATGGTAATAACTGCCGTCTTGTGCTTTGATCATAGCTGTGAAGTGTTGGTTTGTATTATTGATAGCCGCGGAGAGGTTATACCTAAACAAGCGGTAACATTAAGAAAGTTTATAGAAGGCTTGAGAGCTTACGTGTGTTCACCAATATACAATGCTTATTGTTCGATGTGTTAAGCGGCGACTAGTGAAACGTTTAGAACATCTCGAGACCAATGTAGACGATCTTGTAAATGCACTCGCTACGCCTTTACAAGAAGCGCCTTTTTCTAAATAAAATTCTTAATAACTGGAATTAAGTATTTTTGATCAACTACAGCAGTATTTAACCAAAAACGTAAATTACGCATTAGCCGTCAGCCATCAGCAAACATACTTGCAAGTCGAATACTCGAAGCATACCAAATGTTGATAGAAAGAATCTATGTACCACTGTGCATCAAACAACGACAAAGTCTACACAAAATCTCAGTCCAGATTCATTTAACACCTAAGTAATACATATGCATTCAGGTATCTCGGCATACAGTCACTACCTCAATGGCCCAATCGCGATTTTATAAGCTATCCTACCGTGCCCCACACCATTGCATGCAGAATGACGAGATCTATATATCCCAGAAGTTTCAGAGATATCCCAAGTAGTGGGACGAATATCAGCAGGATATACTGGTAAAATCTACTATTTTACCACTATTTACTGGTAAAACTGGTGTAGTCGGTCGGTGACCCCCACCTATCTTACATCATTCGATGCAGAATGACGAGATCTATCCATCCCAGGAGTTTCGCACTCATCCCAAGTACTGGAGCGAATGTCAGCAGGATATACTAGTAAAAATCACTATTTTACTACGATTTATTGGTAGAAGCCTCGCTTTCAGTCGACGATACCCCACTTATCATACATCACTCGATGCAGAATGACGAGATCTATCCATCCCAGAAGTTTCACACTCATCCCAAGTACTGGAGCGAATGTCAGCAGGATATACTCGAATCCGCTGCTAACTTCCATTACGTATTCGCGGCACACTTGTACTGACTAAAAGTCATATGGAGTAGTTTTCGTATGAAACTAGTAATTCTACAACAATACACTCTGTTATTCACTTCTGATTGTTATGGTGGTTCAACTGAGAATTTAGTTTTGTATTGATGCATTCATTTGTAATAAGTGTTGCTTTACTAAAGTCGATAAGAAGAGACCAATAAAATTTCAAGGGAAATCTCATTTATTTGAGGACAAATATGTGCAAATTAGAACGGTGTTTTTTTTTCTCTATGAAGGAATGCACGCTGTACGGAAATCAACATTATCATTTATCAAAAGCTTTTTCTGACTATGATTTTATGAACATACACGTTAGATTTGTCTTTATCAGTAGTCAATATTCTTTCCATTTATTCCGTATTTCCTAACCACATTATGTATTTTGTCACCTGCGCAACATTTTTATCTGCTAATAAATTTATACATCCCTTATGAGATTAAATTTTCAATTGTGACGATAGAGACTCGGCTACAACAATCTACTACTTTATATTTCTGAATAATGGAAGCAACCACTAAAAGACCAACAAGTAGAATCAAACGATTACAAAACTATGTTCTAAAACTAAACATCTATGGTGATGAAAGTGATTCGACACTCATTGATCAATTATTATCGACACGAATATTCCTCATTCTCTTATTCATACTTTTGCTTCTTATTATAGTTTATATCATTCTTAGTGTTCAAACTCATTCGGTGACTATTCAGTCTCCTTCGGAATCCACTTTCACACAACTGTCTCAACAGTATCCAAGCACACTCTCATGTCCGTGTTCACACACATCTGTTCGACATGATCGGTTCCTCTCGCTCGATCCTCAGTATCATCCCATTTGTACAAGTCGATTAGTTAATCAATCATTTATTTCATTATTATCTTCTGCGAATGTGAGTGAGTATCCCAGCGAAGATTACCGAATAATGGCAACATCTCATTTTCAAGTTCTTGCTTTACTTTGCCAAACAGTTCGACAAATGATTGATGATTCTCTCAGTGAACTCCTCTCACAACATTTCACTACTTCAGAAGTCGTCTCAAACGAAACATTCAATGCTCAGATGAATCATCTTGTAGAACAATTGAAAACAACAAATATTGCCAATATAAAACATACAAGAGACTTTTTTTGGTTGAACGTGTTTTACAATGGAATTTATTCGGGATTGAAGACGAACTTTCACGATAAAGGCGCGAATGATCTCCGTGTAAACTACACTGTGCGTTCTTATCGTTCTTCAAATGGGATCTGTAGTTGTCATCGATCTGCTGATTGCACTACACAAGCTGCAATCACAAAGTTAGTATCGTCTAATGCAACTGTAAATACAACGACGGCTGTGCAGAATCCAATCAGACTCTTTAACATATCTGGTCTACAAGTCGGTTGTCTGCCATACAACTCATTACTTCAATCGACTCTTGAATGTTTCTTCAATCAATCATGCATTGATCAAATTCAAGAGTACTTCCCTGCATTAGCCTTCGTCTCTCCGCTCTCTGCTCACTCTCGTTTCCAACAAAATGCCACAGTCGAGCATCTTCTCGATCAACTCTTCATCGAATCATGGAACCAAATCAACAATTTCACTGCTTATTTTCAAAGTTGTTCTCCTCACTCATGCACATATTCATATGATCGACGATTCAATATTCTTTATGTCCTTGGCAAGCTCATTGGCATTTTTGGTGGCTTGAAGATGGTGTTGAAGTTCTCTGCTCCACTTATTGTCAAACTTATTCGACGTGTTCAAACGTGTCGATGCATTTCTAAGACAGTGGACAAAAATGAAATACCTATTCAACAAAGTGAGCTATTTCTTTTCATGCCTATATTCATTTTTTATTTTACATGAAATAGGTGTCAAGCAGTATCTTGCATCTCTTGTACAGAAAATAAAAACAAAACTGAAGACACTGAATCTGTTTCCATTGTTATCTGATGAAACAGATGGATTGTATTCAACACGACTCTACATCATCTCATATATCATTGGAATCATCGTGTTAGTCTTCTATACTTCGATATCAGTTCAGATGCGAAGTATCACTGTACATGAGCCAACTTTGGCCGAATACGAACGATTGTATGGTAAATATGGCAGAACATTGATCTGTCCATGTCGTCATCTGTCTGTGTCTTATTCTTCGATTATTCATCTCGAAGTCGAATATCATCAAGTGTGTTCGAGCGAGTTTATCGACGACAATGTTTGGTTGTCATATTTTAATATGCACATTAGCTCCTTACGTCTGCCGGATTTTCGATTGGAAGGTTCAAGGCTATTTCGCATACTTCAGTCATTATGTCGATTATCGAATGAAACAGTGAGAAATCAACTACGTGTGTTTAGTGAAACGCAATTCATCAATGCACATGTTGTGTCAAGAGATACATTCGATATTCAAACATCCATTCTAATTGGTCAATTGCAACAACAGGTAATAAAACTCTGATAATATTGGGTGTTATTCCGAGATAAAAGAAACGATCCTATGAAAGAGGATGCCCAGCAGTCGAAGTTCCAAAGGGAGAAAGTCGAGGCTTCAGACTTCAAATACTTCACTCGTACTTCACCGATACTTCACTATTACTTCGCTAACACTTCACCGTACTTCGAATACCATCTAAAATAGATGAAGTCTCGCTTTTTCGTCCTTGAGAAGTTTCGCAGTTGCACAGCTTGTCTGCATGAAGCAACATAGGTTATCATAAATCAGGGTTGTGCAAGCGCAAGTATTTAGATAATATACATAGTTCATATTCACCATTCCTGCGATAATGGCAGAAGCAAATCATGATAAATTTGCAGATTTGAATCGAGGATGGAGAAAGATGTTTGATTATTGTAGACTCTTCACTCATTTCTGAGAATATTTCAACTGGTTCGTGTATCCATTCAGCTGAACCAATTTAGGGTATTTGGTAGCACAAATTCTGAAATCATGAAATACAACAACAACGGTACTCTAATATGGCGATCTGTGCCAGATCATGACTACGACTCTAACTGTTCATGTGGACAAAGTGTTCATTGTAATCGTTCACAAGGTTTTTACTGTACCACGAACGAATGTAAATCCTTTAGGAAGAGACTAAATCAGACTATACCTGGTTTAGTTGTAAGTTGTTTACCTATCGACTCTCTTCTTCTATCAACACTCGAGTGTTTCTACAATTCATCATGCATTCAAATGCTCATCGAATGGCGTTCATTTAACGCCACAGCTCAAACAAACGATTCACGCTTCACTAACGTCACTCCACTCGATCCAATGCGTAACACTCGTTTTCCACCTACGATTAAACTAGAAAACATTGTCTCACAACTATTCATCGAAAAGTGGATCAACAAAACTAACTTCACCGCATTCTATCAGCAATGTGCACCACACACATGTACTTATACTTTTGAACAGCGTTTTAATCGTGTGTTTATTATTGCAACAATATTTGGCATCATCGATGGTCTTTCTCTTACTCTTACGATACTCATTCCGTTCATTGTCAAACTATGTCGAAAAGTCAGTCGTTGCTGTCATCGACATCCTAATGACATTCGACGAGAAGTCATACTCAATGTATGCATTTCTCACCGAAGTATTCTTCAGAAATATGCGAAGTGCAAAAATTATGTGCAGACATTGAACTTGTATGACAAACGACGTTTTCGTCCCTCATCAGATCCTCCAACAATAACATCTGCTGATATTTTGTTGATCGAACGACAGCGCTTCGCTACTCGTGTTTTTATCATTTTCTTCATCATCATCCTTCTCATTGTCATCAACGTTATTGCCTTCAATGTATCAATGTATTCGTTCACAATTCCCTTTCCATCCGAATCAACCTTTGAATCTCTTCAACGAAAATATTCATTCAAACTTTCTTGTCCATGTTCACAAACTGCAGTTTCATTTTCCGAATTTCTCTCAATCGAGCCAAATGCATATTATCAAATCTGTTCAAGTGACTTTGTTTCGTTTAACTTCTCGAAAATTCTTTGGGGGTCCGATAGAAACAGAATGTATTTTAGATCTATTGATGGTAAAGTGTTGAGTACACAATTTCGGCTGCTGGCAGCATTGTGTTCTCTTGCAAACAGCACCGTTGTGGAAAGGATACGAACACTATCGGCTCGAGAACTCGTCACTCTCGAGCCATTATCACGACACTCATTCGATGATCAAATTCACTCGATTGTGAGCAGTTTTATACGAGAAACGCCTCGTGATTTTCGACGAACACATCAATATGTCAATGACATGCTTCATGCTAATCAATTTCAAACTTTTCTCTCGACAAATTGGAATCTAGTAACAACACCTGTTGGAGAAGTACACAAGCTCTCAACAAGTCCAGTTTCAGTAAATGAAAGTGGCCAATTGTGTTCATGTGAGACTTCCTCAACATGTACAAGATCGAAACTGAAAAACATGAACCACCGAATAACATTCACTGGTAAAATATTGATAAAGAATAGAATTCAACTTCTTCTTGCTTGTAGGTCTCGTTGTCGGATGTTTACCCGTTCATGGCCTTCGACTTTCAACTCTCGAATGTCTTTATAGTTCAGAATGCTTGACAGAGTTAGGTGAATTTGTCAATAGTTCGTTTCTTCCATCGCCCTTAAATCAATCGATTCCAAGTCGTTTCACACCAATCTCATCAACACCGATCGGTACTTTGATTGATGAGTTGTTCATCGAATCATGGCAGAATTCGTCTAATTATTCGAGTTATTACTCGATATGTGCACCATCCAACTGTCGATATACATATGTCGAACGAAATGGTTTTGTATACACGTTGACTACGATTCTTGGTTTATATGGTGGATTGACTGAAGGGTTGCCTCTTGTTATTTGGGGCAGTCTGCAGGTGTATTGGAAGATTCGTGAGCGAATTAAGAGACATCGACATATTGCACCTATAAACAGTGGCTGAAGCGTGTGATATTTATGTTAGTTACTTGAGTTAGAACATAAAATGACATATGTTCCTGTCCCCAGTTTTCACTTATGACCATACGAATTATTTCTGAAATATCGTTTGATGTGTGCTATTCTAATCTTCTGTTCTGTCATCTAGACAAAATACATTTTGATGTGTTAGAATCATGACATTCACATGCCAATGTGATCGATTTCAGTTTGTGAAAGAGAAGCACAGCTGGAGAAGCGTTCTTGAATATGGTGCGCGAGCAGTAGAGCATCATCCTACAAGATTCTCTATACCGTTTGAAACTAATGATTCGCATTCTAATATTATTCAGTTTTTACTCATCTGATGAGCCATAGTCGAGGACGAGCGGAGTGAGCATCCCCTGTAAATTGACATGCGTTGCATAGATCAAACATCATGAGTCGACCAATCTCATACTCGGATCCGATTGGATCCAATACTGGATTTTGTCAGAATTCGACAAAATCCTATCGAATTCCCGGTGATCGATCCTCTCGGATTCAATGTAAGATCCTATAGTTTCCAAATAACGAATTTCAACGGATCCGACAGGTAACCAAAAGAACGCTCATCAAATGTGCAGCATCCGACATGACATTTACCAATGGAATTCAAACGGATTTTGTCGGATCATCGGATCCTATCGATTCGTTATCGGATTGATACACCTTGGATGCTATGAAATCAAATTATCAAACGCTTTTGACAATGAATTGCGTATCAATCGTTTATCATGGAAGCAGTATTCCGGTTATTAAATCCAGTCGTCTGGATTCCCTCGATTTTCTTGAGAACCGCCAAGAACCTCCCATAACTGATAGTCGGATACGAGCTCTCTTTTTCTCAGCAGGATTACAGGCACTTTCTTAGAGCATCCAACACGGAAATAAGCGGAATCCTGCTTCCAGGAACCGCTGTCCTGGGTTTGTCGACAACCTATGTCAACAGACACTTCATCGACTATCCATTTCGCCTAAAGCCAATCTTTTATCCGTAATGTATCATTATTTTATTACCTTTTGTCTTTGTGCTTGTACATTCACTTTATCAATAAATGTAAGCTCATAGTTTAATTTTGTCTTGACCACTTTGACGAGAAGCGTTCCCTTTTTTGGAACATTGCAAAAAATATATCACTATAACTTATACTCCTGGTATTCTTTGTTCTGAGGTAGATCCGTGCGATCACGTTACACATGCATGTACCTCGATGGAATCGGTACGTGTTGTTCATCGCATAACATATGTTTGCCATCGGCGGTAACAAACCTCTGTAAAAAGGTAATGCTAAGTTTGTATTCTGAATGTATCGACATAATTTCGCTGCTTTGTTTCGGGATGGCATAGCACTGGAAACATGACTTTTGCACGAGTTGATTTCGCCGCCCCTGTATTAACTAATGGAAAAGTATTAATGATCGGTGGGTATAAGAATAGTGCTGAAGTATACGATCCATTTGCAGGAATATGGGCATCTCTCCTGGTAGTATGACCGTAGTACGGTACATGTTTACACCCACCCTATTAAATAGTGGGAAAGTATTTGTCTCTGGTGATTATGATAGTACGGCTGAATTATATGATCCATCTACAGAAGCGTGGACAAGTAGGGGTAACATGACTAAGGCACGATGTAGGCATACATCAACTTTGCTAAACAATGACTGGTACAATTAGTTATGAAATAAGTTACCACGCTGCATGTTTGTTATTCAACGGAAGAGTGCTGATAAGCGGTGGATTCGATGGTCGTACTATTCGCAGTAGTGCTGAATTGTATGATCCATCGACAGGAGTTTGGACGCCCGTTGAGAATANCTAGTCGTTTCACACCAATCTCATCAACACCGATCGGTACTTTGATTGATGAGTTGTTCATCGAATCATGGCAGAATTCGTCTAATTATTCGAGTTATTACTCGATATGTGCACCATCGAACTGTCGATATACATATGTCGAAAGAAATGATTTTGTATACACGTTGACTACGATTCTTGGTTTATATGGTGGATTGACTGAAGGGTTGCCTATCGTTATTTGGGGCAGTCTGCAGGTGTATTGGAAGATTCGTGAGCGAATCAAGAGACATCGACGCATTGTACCCATAAATAGTGACTAAAGCGTATGATATTTATGTTGGATACTTGAGTTAGAAAGTAAAATGACATATGTTCGTGTCCCCAGTTTTCACTTATGACCATACGAATTATTTCTGAAATATCGTTTGATGTGTGCTATTCTAATCTTTTGTTCTGTCATCTAGACAAAATACATTTTGATTTGTTACGTAGAATCATGACATTCACATGCCAATGTAATCGATTTCAGTTTGTGAAAGAGAAGCACAGCTGAAGAAGCGTTCTTGAATATGGTGCGCGAGCAGTAGAGCATCATCCTACAAGATTCTCTGTACCGTTTGAAACTAGTGATTGGCATTCTAATATTATTCAGCTTTTACTCATCTGACGAGCCATAGTCGAGGATGAGCGGAGTGAGCATCCCCTGTAAATTGACATGCGTTGCATAGATCAGACATCCTGAGTCGACCAATCTCATACTCGGATTCGATTGGATCCAATATTGGATTTTATCAAAATTCTCGGTGATGGATCCTCTCGGATTCAATATAAGATCCTGTAGTTTGTAAATAACGAATTTCAACGGATCCGACAGGTAACCAAAAGACCATCATAGAATATAGCTAAAAAGAACGCTCATCAAATTTGCAGCATCCGACATGACATTTACCAATGGAATTCAATAGGATTTTGTCGGATCATCGGACCCTATCGATTCGTTGTCAGATTGATACACCTGGGATGCTATGAAATCAAATTATCAAACGCTTTTGACACTGAATTGCGTATCAATCGTTTATCATGGAAGCAGTATTCCGGTTACTAAATCCAGCCATCTGGGTTTACCCGATTTTCTTGAGAACCGACAAGAACCTCCCATAACTGATAGTCGGATACGAGCTCTGTTTTTCTCAGCAGGATTAGAGGCACTTTCTCATAGTATCCAACACGGAAATAAGCGGAATCCTGGTTCCAAGAACCGTTGTCCTGGGTTTGTCGACAACTTATATCAGCAGACACTTCGTCGACTATCCGTTTCGCCTAAAACCAATGTTTTATCCGTAATATATCATTATTTTATTACCTTTTGTCTTTGTGCTTGTATATTCACTGTATCAATAAATGTAAGCTCATAATTTAATTTTGTCTTGACCACTTTGACGAGAAACGTTCCCTTTTTTGGAACGTGACAAAAAATAGATCACTATAACTTTCTTTATCTTAAATTATAAGCATTTCTGTATTTATTGGCTGAAGTTTCGCTCGCTGATAGGCGTACTGTCAGTGAATCAACTTGCCGTGTTCTATATACAGGCTTATTTTCATTTTTTCTTCCTCATGACAACTAGCACGATTATTCTCAAGTTTAGTAAGACAATAAAGAGAAGGCGTATCGTTCTGCACGATAGATACATCTACATGTTGAACCAAAATCGTGGGAAAGTGCATAGGCGGTGGAGCCATTAGGCCTTGGTAGGCTCAAATTAGGATGTATTAAAGGCTTGAATAGGCTCGGTTTCATTGGAACATCAAGAGCATCAGCTAACTTATCGTTCAAAATATTTCATTCGAGGGAAATCTCTCCAAGATTTTCTCCAATTTTGAAGGATTATGTTTCTAGATTCCTTTCAGTTTGCAAGAAAATCTTCTGACATCCGCCATATTTTTGAAGCATGTTTCTCCAGGTTATTATGGCACGGTCGGTTCCGGCCGGGATCTGGCGGCAAGGAATCTGCCGGAACTTGATAGAATCGGCGAAAACTGTGTCGGAATCGAGAAGAGCTGTACCGGAACCGACTCAGATTTCAACGGATCCAGTCGCCAGAATGATCGACCTGGGATTATTAAACATTATAAGAGATTGAAATTAGAGCAAGCATCTATTCCCTCGACTGAAAGGAGGGTCATGTCGAAAAAAAGTGGCCAAAAAACGGAAATTCGTTTGTGTGTGTGTCTGTCACAGGTCAAAGGTCAAAAAAACATTTTTTTCCAAAAACGCTCAAAACTTCATAAAACATGGTTTGGGAGGGTGTTTTGACACTGAAAGTTGGTTGAGAGGGTGAGGACATGTGAGATAGGGTCGATGTTAAACGTACGTTGAGCCCGGAGGCCAACGGCCCATAAGAGAATTTCATTATGAGTGGAACAAAGATTAGGTAAAAGTTTTTCATAATTCCAAATGTGCAAGGAAATGTATCATACATTGAAACTGAAAGATTCATTCTCAGAATGTAATGTAACTTGTATTTGTGATAGTAGGAGAATTTCCTTCGAAACACAAGTCCAAAATACAATTCTGATTTTTTTGCTTCTGTTGGTGTGAATCATGGCAGGAATGTCCTTTAGGAAATGTCCTTTAGGAAATGTCCTCAAAATTTGGTCCTCGCAAAAAATGTCCTTTTAAATTTTGTCCTTTAGAAAACGTCCTTTGATAAAATGTTCTTGCAGAAAATGTCTTTTGAGAAATGGTCCGGCAGTTAAAATTGTCCTTTGCGTTTGACAAAGAAAATTCCGAATGAAGCATCTCTTAGACATAGATGACGTTGTGGTTTAACGAAAATTCGTAGTATGCTAAGTCATTTAAATAGAGGATTTACTTACATGTACAGAAAATGAAAGAAAAGAAAAGATGGCCATTGTACTCGTATTAATCGTATCGAAACATAATTTATAAGTGATAAAAATCGAAAAATTTCAACATGAAATCGAGTGATTTTGTTATAATTGATGAGATGTCGTCATCTTCTTCATCCTCATTCTCGTCTTCATCTAAACCCACAATTGGTAAAACATCATCAAATAAACGGAAACCTATGTTAACAATTGACGGTTATCAATTTCAAATGAAAGATTTCAATAAATCTAAAACTTTGAAGTTCTGGCGATGTGCTAATCGACTTTGCAATGTTATTTTACACACAAACCTGAATGATGAATTTGTGAAATTCTCAAAGGATAAAAGTGACCACTCACATTTGCCAAATCCAGCTACATTAGAAATACGGAATTTGAGAGAGCAAATGCGAAAACGAGCTGAAAATGAATTATTACCTTTGGAACAAATTGCTGAACAAGAAGTACGACAAGGTCTACTCACTGGTGAAGCTCTTGCTGTTTTACCAAATATTCTTAATCTTGGTATATCATTAATATTTCATATAACACGAACATCATTGTACACTCTCTTTAGGCCATAACTTGGTGAATAATCGAAGAGTAATGATGCCTCCAATTCCACAGTCATATTCTTTCACTATTCCAGATGAATATAAAAACGATTATCTTAATAAGGATCGTCTTTTATTACACGACAGTTATGATCCACAATTTTCTACAAATGACTCATTATATGCATCACCTGAAGGAAGAATTCTCATATGGTCATCAGATATTCAATTGAAATTATTATTTGATAGTGATAAACTTTACATGGATGGAACATTTTCCACCTCTCCACCCAATTTTGATCAGGTGTACATCATTCAAGCCATTCATCATGAATCATGTAAGTAATTCTATTAGCATGTAAATTTGATGGTTTTAAATATATATAATGAAATGCTGTTCGTTGTCATAGGTTTGCCGGTAGTATTTGCACTACTTCCTGATCGAAAAGCAACAACGTATATTTATCTTTTTCATGTTTTATTCTCGGAAGCAAAAAGGCTTAACAAAAAGTTCAATCCGTGTTTACTCATGACTGATTTTGAACAAGGAGTTTCTCGTGCAGTTTCACTTATGGTAAAGTTTTATTCTATTTTCTAAATTCTTTTTGACTGAGACTGCAAATCTTTTCTTGCAGTTCGCAGGAGCAACAGTACAAAAGGGTTGCTTTTTCCATTTTTGCCAAGCTATCTATCGAAATGTTCAATTCAATGGTTTATCATCAACTTACTTAGAGAATCTTATGATTCGTAGTGTGATTCGACAGATGATGGCATTGGCGTTAGTTCCTGAGGAGCATGTATTATCATTGTTCGCTGGTCTTGGTGCAGAACTCGATGAAAATGAACGTGATCAATTAAATTCTCTATTTACATATTTTGAACGCCAGTGGTTATCAAAGATCTCGATGTGGAACGTTTTTAACATTCGTGATAAAACTAATAATTTCTCTGAAGGTATGTAAAACTAAAATAACGACTACATATCTCATTTAATTATCGCACATTCTAGGCTATAATAACAGGTTCAAAAGAAGAATGCAGAAAACACATCCGAACATATGGTCGTTTATCGATTCGATCAAAAACGAAGTACAAACTGTTCATAGTTTAATTTCTCAAATAAACTCTGGAATGACACCTCGTGAGAAGAAGACTCAATCGAAAATCGTCGAACGAAGAATTACACAATTATATAGTCGCTTCAATTTAGAAAAGATTACAGTCGAAGAATTATTACACCAGCTTTCTTTTTTTGTTACAAATGATAAATAAATCAAAACTTGACTCGTCATAATAGAAAATAGACTATTTGCATTACCCATCGACTGTTTATTTTTTTTATACCGAAAGGACATTTCACTAATGGAGGACATTTTTTCATAGGACCAAATGACGAAGGCCTATTTCTAAAGGACATTTTTTAAAAGGCCATTTACAACGTAAGACATTTCCTAAAAGGACCAAAACTTGAGGACATTTTCTAAAGGACATTTTCTAACGGACATTCTTGACGGATACCGTTGGTGTGATTATGGAAAACAGACAGCGAAGAATCTTGTATAAATTATTGTTAGTATTCGTTTTTGCTAGCGTACCGAACCACAAATTGGACACCAGAAGAGGATGTGTCTCACACTCAAGTATAATAATGCAGAGAAGAAAGGTAGTGATCGGAGACTAAATGAACGAGATTTTGATATGACAACGTCTCTAGTGATTGATAATTCTGTTGGAAAGTATTGAAGCAGGCATTGTTTAAATAAGTTGGATAGTCAGCCTAAAAAATGGGAAGCGTGCGGAGCGGCGAGTCATGAGTGGCGCCCCGTTGGGGCGCCGACGAACGACGAGCTGCTCCCGGTGACGCTTTCTAGTTCACACTTAGAAACATTTTGACACCTTTGGATTTCAAATTTACATGAACACTCATTTTTCTTCACCTAACTCTTCATTTTATTAGGAAATGGAGAACACGTATAAGGTATGGTGCGGCAGCGCGACCGAAGATTTCTGCGCCATTTTATTGTTTAGAATGTGAGATAATCTGTTAAATGTGTATTTGATAGAGAACCGTTTCCTCTTCCAAGCTGTATGCTTTCAGCGATACCATAAAACTTTCTTTTAGGCCAGTGTCAAAAAGAAACCAAAGGGTTAGTTTTGAGCGAGCTGTGCAGAAGCGAAATTCGCCCGATCATTTTTCTGGATTAGTCGAAGGGAAAGTGTTCTATTATGATCTAACCTATACAGTTCGATAGAGAAAAAGATTCTCTACAAAATGCACATTTAATAGATTATCTTA